CGGAGCGGTGGGGCCGGAGCTCCTGCCCCCGCCTGCTGCCCTCGGCATCAGCTTGGGTCTCGCTTGCGGGTAGGCATAAGGCTGTGAAAGAGCAGGGCCCGTTGGTAGGTGTAGGGATGTAGTTTCACAGGTCTGTCTCTTGAAATCTCTGTTTTGGTGGTTTTTCTACCACCAAACTTCAAAAACGTAGGTGTATCTCTCTGCTGGCAAGCGCCGTTTGGAAAGAGCCTTATATCCCTGCAGAACTGCAGATAACTGGTGCCTGCATTTCCTGTCAGGGTCATGTCATCTTTATAGGATATCAGAAATACTGACTTTGTTACAGTGATTCAGGGTATCACATCATGAATAGAAAGCTATAAAGTTTGTCAAAACAAATTTAACTTTAAGATGAACTGTGTAATCTGTGAATACTTGATTTAACCTGGAAAGCACATGTTTTAAAACTTAAAAAGTACAGCAAACTGTTAGTTAGAAACCATTCAGATGTTCAGAGCACAACACAACTGTTGTGGCAGGAGTAGTATTGCTTTTAGGAGTTGCTTTGATGAAAATGTTCAGCTGTGAGGTGCTGAAATAAATTTCCTGTTTTGAAAAGAGGATTAAGATGTCTTTATCCATATGTATTTTCATGCAGTTTGGGATGGCTTTGGCTCACTAGAAAATAACCTGATTGCCTGTATTCCTCAAACTGCTTAGTTCCTGTCTTAAATTTTGACTGCAGGAGGTGCTTGTCCTAAATTCTTCCGAAAAATGTTTTCTAGTCCTTCACTTTTCCCCTGCATGGGCGTTAGATGACTTCCATCTGAAAACTTTCAAATGTGTAAACTTGAACTTAGACATTGCTTGTGGGTGTCTATTTTACATGCAGTTTCTTACCTTTTTTATTTGAATATAGTATAACAATTTCTTGTTTGTTTTCTAGAAACATACTGCTTTTGCTACCTTTCCCAGTGAAAATGCAGCTGTGAAGGTTTGTATTGAATTTGTTATCAAATGCTTTAGCACAGCACTTTCTGAATTGCCAGTTGTGAGGTTTTAACCATCATCTAGTGCTCAGAGCTAGGAAAAATCAAAGCAGCACAATGTACTACTAGAGTTCTGTTTCAGGAGTTGCTTGCGGGCCTTGTTGAAAATCAAAGCAGCACAATGTACTACTAGAGCTCTGTTTCAGGAGTTGCTTGCGGGGCTTGTTGAACATTTCTGTGGAGTCCTAAGACAAGTGGATTGGCAGGAGCTGGAAGTCATTTGATCCAACCTGTCTCTTAGAGCATGGCAAACTTACAGGGACTAGACTGATCAGGGACCTGTCTAGGATGTGTGTGTATTTATATATAGACTATAAATCAAGCATAATTTCTGTGTCTTCTGCATAATTGCATATTTGCCATAAAATTCAGACCTACCTCAAATGTCCAATATCTATAAGAAAACTGCTGTGTTAATGGGGGATGTGGATGCCAAAAGGTAATACTAATAATGCTTTTTAAATACAAATCTGTTAAAAAGCCTGTGTCCAGAATGTTTCCCTTATGCCCTGGGTTTTGGTTTTTTTGCACTGCTATTTTTTTTTAAAGCCACACTTAGAGGACTGCTCAAAAAGTTACAAAGTGTGTGAGGTGAACAGTGGTGTATTTGGTTTCTGGACTTGCAGAATGATAGATCTTCGTCGTGTCTCTGTTAAGAATCTTGATTTTAAAATTCCTAACTGTTACCAACAGAGTTCAGTGTGTTTGTAGCTCATGGGCAAATCAGAGATTTACTAGGCTATGTAATGAGTATCATTGTTAAGACTGCAGTCTTGCTATTGCGTTCAGATGAACTAACTCTGTAGTGGTTCTGGTGTGCAACCTTATCTCTTCCCTTCTGCCAGCAGGAAAAAGTCTGTGAGGGCAGAACAGTGCAGTGTTCCAGGGGGCACTAATTTAGCTTAAAGCAGCTGGGACTGCATCCTATGGCTGGTTTACCAATCAAAGGAAAATGAGTTATGTTTTCAAATAATTCTCATGTTTTTCCTCTTCCCTTTCTTTCTTTTCTCCATTATAATTACTTGAAGGCTTTATCAAGATTGCATCAGCTGAAACTTCTAGGTCACACCTTAGTTGTTGAATTTGCCAAGGAGCAAGAGAGTGTGCAGGTACTTAGCCAGCCTTCTGTCTCAGAGAAGTGTAAAAGGTATGTGTTTAATTTAGTTGTTGTGTTTGTGGTCAAGGAAAGGAAATTCCCTTTTTTTTTCTTTTAAAATTTTCTTTTTAACTCAATAAGTTGTATCCATTTAGAAATGTTAACAAGCTTGTTCAGATCCATAGGTGATTGCATTTCTCCCTTTAGAACTGTGTCATTACCTGTGTAATATCTAAGTGATAAAGGCTGTGTGATAGTGCTTAATTAAAACAACAGGAGTAGAGATTTCAAGTTAGTTATTCTGCTTTTTGAATGTGAACAAATCAATAACTTAATACATTTGAATTTATAGTCTCTGAAGCAACATGAAATTATTTTAGTTCTTTTCCTGTGAGCAGATTTAAGTCAGGACTGTTTGAATATTGGGAGACTTACTTAAATCTGCATAAGAATTTATTTTAGAAGACAGGCTGCTGTAATTATCCACATGTGTTAATACTGAGGAATTGAGAATGGCTGTAGTAATACCATTGATAAAATATGTTAAAAATACTATGCCATCAATATCTTGTATTTATTAATGGATAATGCATTTTTTGTATATTACATAAGGCACTTAAGTTTTTCCCTGTTTTAACTAAGACTAAATTAATTTTCAGTTCAGAAGAACCGGTGAAAGAAGAAGAGAAGACAGAACCAAGCTGTGTTAAAATAGAGAATGGAATTGCACCCAACCATGGGTTAGTGTTGGGTTTTTTATTTGTCTTAATTATTTTATTCTGTTAGATTATTTTGAAGTGTGCTATGCACTGTGGAACAAGAGTTTTGTTTCCTAGTATGTTACTGTTCTACAGGCACAGCTGTAGGAATTGTCATAAAGATGAAGTTTCAATTCCTCAGGTTTAGTACACAGTTGAGCAGTGACTGGTGCTTTGAGCTGTGAAGTTGTGGATTGCATAATAACCTTCTAGCACTGTGCTTTGCTTTCTCAAGAACAGTTTGAGGGCTGGGTAGGTTGTCCCAGTGTTAACAGCACAATACCATTGACTTGTTTTTCTAGATGTTTCTTCTTCCCCCCTCCCTCACCCCTTGCATTTTTGCATACGTGGAGAATAAATTTTTTGGAGACTAACAGATTCAGCAATTTGAGCATTGAGTTTGTGGTGTTTGTACATGCTATGCTGTGCTTTTTGGTTTTGGACATGGTGATTGTTTTTGTGTACTTGAGGGTTTCTGCATGGGTTGATACTTTCATTGTGTCCAAGCCCAGTAAGTCTGTCATGCATTAGGCATTGCTCCCTCATGGTAATGACAATGTAAGTGGCCCAAAACTGTTCTAGGAGAAATAATAATATTTCAGTGTTACTTCTGACACAATGAATAGTTAAGCCTCTAGTAATCATTACTTATTACCAGTAACTATGTGGCAGTGGTATTAAGATGTCTTATTTTTAATCTTTTTTCCTCAGCCTCACCTTTCCCATCAATTCTTGCCTCAAATATTTGTATCCACCACCTTCAAGTGCAATTCTAGCAAATATAGCAAATGCCTTGGCAAGTGTGCCCAAATTTTATGTCCAGGTAAGTAAAAAACAACAGTAACAATGAAAAAAGGAAAGTTTAAAAATAAAAACATCTCATTTTTCCTTTTTTAATTATCCATAGAAATGATTTTTGTGTCAAGGTAAATATTAAGTTAGTTTGCCTATGATAGCGTTAACCAATCTTAACTTTTTACTATGTTGAGATAGTAGGAGTTCATTGACTTAATTGACACTGAAGACTTAATGGGATGTGCTCATCCTGGTTAGATGTGACTTGAGTACTTGGAATTTCATTCTGAGAAGATGCTTTTCTCTTTTGACTAGCCTTTTTAGGTGTATTGCTCATATTTGCCATTAGTGTATGATCTCAAGTGCAAACTATCACATTGCTCACTAGCATTAAAGCTGCTGATTTACACCTGCCAGAAGTTATTTGCTGTGATACCTATCAAGGAACTGTTATAATTCATTTATTTACCTTTATTTAAAGGAAGCCTTACTTATTCTGAATCATTTCAGGTACTTCATCTTATGAATAAAATGAATCTTCCTCCACCTTTTGGACCAATTACTGCTCGCCCTCCCATGGTAATGTTTTTAATGTATGTTTTAAGTGCTGTAGAACTCAGAATTCACAATTTTAAATGTCAGCAACATGGTAGGAAATCTAAGTTCTAAAAGTTTAAGAAAAAGGTTGGAAATACTGCTGCGTGTCACTGGGTATGATCTGCATGTTGGTCTTCTAAACAAATTTGTTTAACTGTACTTAGAACAAAGAAATACACATGTATGACAGTAGCACTGTAATGTTTCAAAGGAGGTTCAGTGTAGATACTGAGATGGCTTTGGAGCTTAGGCCTCTACCCACATATTTTGACCATGATCTTGGAAAAGTCCTTAAAGCTGAGTGCAAAGTAAAAACCCATGACCATGCTCGCTGTATTTTTTATCACCTCAACTTAAAAGAATGAAAACATTTACTCTTATGCTTCAGAAAGCAGCAAATTTGTTGTATTTTATTTGTTTGCTTGTGGAAAGTTTTTCATTAGTAATGTAGTTTACCAGAATAGCATCTACATCCACACAAACATACTTAAAGAAAATACTTCTTGTCCTCTTCTAATTTAGTGCTTTGACTGTTTTTATTAAGTAAAGGAAAACTAGACACACATTTTTTTTTCCCTTAACAAGTTTATTTATTTTTTTTACTTTTTCCCCATAATTAGTATGAAGAGTATTTGCCAGTGCCTGTGCCACCTCCCCCAATCCCACCTCTGCCTCCTGAGGAGCCTCCTTTGCCTGAAGAGGAAGAAGGACAAGGGTCTAGTGGAGATGAATCAGAATATGAGAGTGATAATGATGAGGAAAAGGAGAGGTATGCATTTCACAGTCATTTGCAAGCTCTGGGCTCTCTTAAAGTGGTGGTTCTACTTTTCTAGCTTCTAGTTCAGCAAATGGTGGAGTCTCTTGTAACGTTGGCATCATATAGATAGAGCATCTTGTAGATAGTAGATAGAAATCTTTCCAGATGCTTAGAGAAATTCCAGAGTAATTTAATAACAGAAGGACAGTGCTGTTTTAAATGCAGCAAGAAAAGGAAAACGGCCTAACAGTGTGGAAATTATCATTTGTTCCCATGTTCAAAAAACACAACTGAACAAAAACTCAGAATGGAGAGAGAGTGCAGGTATAAGAAAGCAATAATTAGTTTTCTGAGTTCATTGTTCCACATCTGTACTGAGAAAACTATTCAGCCTGAATCATACATGCACACCAACTTCCAAGATGTTCATTGTGCATCAGTGTGTATTGCTGGGAGTAATAATAACTGGAAGTTGTGTGTGCTGAGGATTCCCTTGCTGCTTTGGGATGCAATTGCATCACAGCTGCATATTTTCAGTCTTTAAGCTAATAATAAATTAAAAAGTAATTCTTTTGCTTGCTGTTTAAACTGAAAAGTAAATCAGAATGTCCTTATGCTTTATTCAGAAAAGTGCTTGCCCTTGGAAAAAGGTATTTCTGCTGACTGGAAGTGGTATTATAAAATCAGGGTCAGCTTGGGGTGTCATAGCTTTTCTTACAGCTTCTGTGTCCTAATTCAGAGCTGCGTGGGGAAGGAGGGGCATCACTGACCTCATTATGATTTTGATTGGTCACTTCAGTTCTCTGTGTATACAGATTTGCTGTGTGTTATATTTTATTAATGTAGTTTCAGATTGAAGGTGGCTAGTTTTGTAACCATATTCTGAAAAGATCTATCTCAAGGGCTTTAAGGAAGGGGGAAGGGTTTTCAAAATTAATGTTTTCAAATAAATTGTAAACCAGTTTGGTTTTTTTAAATTTTTGTTTCAAATAGAATGACCAAGTTGATGGAATTAGCAACCCTTCAGCCTAAAAGACCAATAAACACAAAGAGACGTGGTGTTAGAAAAAAGCAGAGAATTAAAGATTTATTGAATGTTCCTGTGTGTACTCCCCACAGGTTTGTATTTTTTCTGTGGTTTTTGTGCTTTTTTCAGATGATTCCTTTTACTAAATTGTGTTCTCTGTATCATGTTTGCTTTAGTGTTGCTGCTTTAAAACAAGCATTCTTCACTGACAGGTAAATTTGGTAGTGGAGGTGATCTTCCCTTATCCTCATGTTTGGTCTTACTGCTCTAAAAGACCAAATTTTCATGTCATTTGAACTAAAGTCTGCTCAACAACCTTAATCTGTAAAGTGTGCCTAGTTCTTGCTCTGTGTTTCTCCTGCTATCAAGTTGAGGAAAATTCCTTTTCATAAGAAAGATAACTAATTCCATATCACAGCTGTGGCAGAAGCAATCTGGATTTATTGTTTGGGATACTTAAAAGTGTGATACTGGAAGAATAAAATCTGACTCAGTTTGGAACTGCAGTTCTATGGCACAGTAGACAGCAGTGTAGTATTTCTGTGTAGTGATGAATTTTCACCTGCTTCCTCCAAGTGATTTGCTATAGCCTATACACTAGGTGAGAGCAGCAGCAATGCCAGTTATTTTTCATATAACTTCATATAAGTTCCTGATAAAGTTTTCATAAATGTCTGTATTGTAATGGGATGTGTGATTCTTGGGTTTGCTCCTGCTGCCAGCCATACCTACTGTATTTGCAGTGTTTTAATTAGCTTGAACTGTATTGGGTGAAATATGTGAAATGGAGAGAGCATGTATTTATGGTAAACAACAGCATAAAATCTGTCTGGAAGAAATCTTATATTTGACTATGCTTTCATCAGTGTCTGAATCTTTAATTAATATATTGTTGTTTTAAACAGTAATTTGCACCCTACACTGTTACCTTCAGATGTGTTTGAACAGCCCCAGCATGTAGGTCATAAAAAAATAGAGTTTCACATTAGTACTGACATCCCAGCTGTGCTTCAGATACACTCAGAAAAGGAAGAAAAAAATGGTAAGAGACTTCAAATTCAAGTGTATTTAATATTGGATTCATGTGTATGTAGAAGGCTGCTGAAATTTAGGCCAGGAAATTCTATTTTCTTCTTTTGTATTGGTGCTTTCATAAATAATATACATCATAAGTAGTATGAATCAGTATATATATGTGTTCAAATTGCTTTACAAAGTCTACCATGTTAAAATGTTACTGAAAGGAGTATACTTTTTGCTGGCTGTTGATCCTCTTGTGAATAAATGTACAAACCGTGTGTGTAATGTGTTGAAATTTCAGACCTTTATGCAACCACAGAAGAAATCAATAATACAGGCTTTGGAAGGATTTTCCCAGCTCCTAGCTCAAATGATAAAATGGAAACTGAAGAGGAGGATGATGAAATACCATCAGAATTCATTTCTAGAAAGGATCTGGAGAAAAACAGACTCTCTAAAGAAGGTATAACTATAAGAATATATTATCTAGTAATAATTTTTTGAATTGCAGCCAATAATTTAAGTATTTCTTAATTGGTCATATATTAAAATTTATACTGAGCGAACATGTAAAGTAAGGAAATGAGCTAAAACTTTGTCTATTTTTTTGTCTTTAAGAGATGGAAAAATTTTCTGTTTTCAAAAACTATGAGCCAGGTGATCCAAATTGCAGGATATATGTGAAGAATTTAGCTAAACAAGTTCAAGAAAAGGTAGGCAAACAAGTAAATGAAATATTTATTGAAAGGTCTTTTTATTAGCTTTTCTCTTATACCTACCCTTTAATTTCAGGATCTCAAGTTCATTTTTGGAAGATATGTTGACTTCCAATCAGAAGTGGAACGAAATATGTGAGTTAATTTGGTGCTTGGTTAAATTTCAGCCTTTTATGTTAACTTCTATGATACTGGTGAAAATTGTGATTTAAAAGCTAGTCATCTTTTTTTTTGCTTCTGCATAAAGAAAAAATGTATTTCAGCTGAAAAATCTTCATTTATCACAAGTGCAGAAATAGAATTATTTTTTGAACAGCAGCTGAAGACCCTGGTATTTCACTCTTCCATTTTTATTCACAAATTTTCTGTTTATTGGCTGAGTGGCACAGAATGAACAGTGTAGATGGTTCCCCCATGCAAAATGGTCTCCCAGGACATAATTCGTGTTTGTAGGCTTTGCTCCCATTTCTGCTTATTTTTCCATCTTCAAGCTTGGGAATTATATTTATATTGTGAAATACAAAAGTTTTTAGTTAAACATGAGTAATTCCAAATTCTCCATTTTGCCTCTAGGTTTGATATCCGTTTGATGAAGGAAGGCCGTATGAAGGGACAGGCTTTCATTGGACTTCCTAATGAAAAAGCAGCTGCCAAAGCATTAAAAGAAGCAAATGGATATGTCTTATTTGAAAAACCCATGGTGGTTGTATCCTTTTCTTCAAACATTTGCATGATGTTCTTTGTAATCCGTGTGTCTATCTCTAGTTTTGCTGTCAGAGTGTTTTACAGAAGAAGAAACAGCCCCAGAAAAACAGTCAGCATAACACAGTGCACTATTGGTAGTTTTATAGTAGCTGAAAAAAAAAATAGAGGCCCCTCTTCTAAAATAGGAAACTAAAGGTGTTTTATTTAAGCCAGTAAATTTCTCTGGTCTTAGCTCTTTGATCCCACGGACAATAGAAAAGATTGTAGACCCACTGTGTTTAAATTAAACACAAGCTTCTTATCATGGTTAGGCCTGTTTTCACAGAGCTAAGAACATCAGAAATGATCCTGTTGGGATCAGTGGACACCTATTTAGACTAGTTCTCCTGCAGGAACTCTCACTTTTTGATTGCATGGCTCTGTTTTTTTGTCTGTAATTCCTTTCTTATTTTTCGTTTAAATGTTTCATAGTTTATTTCATTTCCTTTGTACTTACATTCATCCAAACCTCTGTTCTTTTTACCTTTTTCCCTCCTAGATACTGAGACATCAAAGTTACAGAATTAACACGCTGGGATGGAAGACTGTAAATATTGTTTATCCTGCTGTAGTTATGCTTTTTGCACCTAACCCATTCCCAGTTCTCTTTATTTACTTAGTATTACCAACTCTTGGACAGGCTGTTTTAGTAATTTTTGTACTGTGTATCAGTACAGTTGTTACTGGTCTTGGTCCTAATCCATGACTAATAGGCACTATTGTTAAAATATTTCATGCTGTAGTAGAATTGATTCACAGATAAAGGTCACTTTCTAAACTGTAATTTGCAGAAATAATCTTTTTTTATCTCCTTGATTGGCTTCTATTTATCACACACACTAGTAGTCCTTAACAGAATATCAGCAATTTGCTCGTTCAGCTAGACCAAAACAGGATGCCAATGAAGGGAAAAGAAAAAAGTAGAACACTGCACAAGGTATGGATTATCTGCCTGAAAACAAAAGTAAAGAATTAGGTGGTGGTGTGGGGGAGTGGTTGATGTGTTTGTTTGGTTTTATTCAATGGCTTCCTTAGTAATATTGGTGGTGGAGGCTAAATGTTCCATTCAATTTTATTTTCTTAAATGTGTGCCTGTATCAGAGAAACAGTGCAAGGTGTATAATTGGTGTAAAATTAAAAGGTTGCTTCTTCCTCTGATTAGAAAGAAACTGAAATTTCCCTAATACTCATATCATAGGGTAGTTGTCAGTTTCTCTAATCCTTAATCTGGGGAGCTGAGGAGAATAATCCTGTGGAATTGGACCACTTGCCTTTTAGTAATCTTCTGGAGTTTTGGTATTGAAGAGTTGCCTCTTTACTCCTTCCCTTCCGTCCCTGCTATTGTAAAGTGATCCTGAAGAACTGTTTCCAGCAATAAACTTCTGCTAGCTGTAAAGAAATTTTGACTTTGCTAATTTTGGAAAATGAGATCTTAGTGCTGTTGCAGCATCCTTTAAACTTGTCTGAATTCTGTTCTGGATTGCATAGGTCCTGATTTTTGGCATTGTTTAAACTTGATGGGAAAGTAACTTCTAGCAGAAGGTAGTTGCTATTTAACTTTTATTTCTTATCATTTACTTCACTGCTTCTTACTCTGAGTATTTGCTTTATATGAGTAACTCAAGCAAAATCAGCTGTAATTTAACTGTGAGGGGTTTCATGACCTGAACTCTCAAATGATCAGCTGTAACTGTGAGGGGTTTCATGACCTGAACACATTTGCATAGTGAACTCTCAAATTATCATGTGAAGTAACTGATGTGAGAGTAAAAAGCATTTATTTCTCAGTCTGCACCCCCTGATAGATCAGCTAGCTCAAATTTAAAGGGCATTGAACTTAGTTTCAGATTACAGTTGGGGATCACTCTGGTTATGCCTCCACTTAAGAAACTGTGAGGGGTTTCATGACCTGAACACATTTGCATAGTGAACTCTCAAATTATCATGTGAAGTAACTGATGTGAGAGTAAAAAGCATTTATTTCTCAGTCTGCACCCCCTGATAGATCAGCTAGCTCAAATTTAAAGGGCATTGAACTTAGTTTCAGATTACAGTTGGGGATCACTCTGGTTATGCCTCCACTTAAGACAAAATGAACTCAAATCTTAGTCTGTTTATGAAACATTCCACTTAACCCATGATGTGTTTTTAATCTGAGGGTTTGATCATTCTTATTTTGAAAAAAACCCTGAAGTTTGAAATAAAGGATGTGAACAGTTGGTCTTGATTTTTACAAGTTGGTTGGAGACCCTACAGTATGGTTATTATAATCTTAATCAGATTTTATTTGAGTTTATTTCCACTCATATCTGAGATGCTGTTTGGTCTTAGAAGTTCCTGTTCTGAGTTATTGATTGTGGTTTGCGAAAATCTATATTTTGTGAAATTAAAAATCCTTTTTTACAGGCATTCTTCTCTGTTGGTTGTTGAAAAGAGAGAAATGAGCCTTGGCTAAAGTGTTCTGTTAGGAGCAAGTGTTTATGAGAATATTTCAGTCTTGTTTCTTACTCCTTCCTTGTTAGGAAAAAACTTGTATTTATATTATTTTATCTAGTGTCTAATAAGAAAATTATGAAGGTTTCTTTATACTCAAAAGAGAAACTTGAAGCATATTGGAAAGTCTGATAGATGAAGCCTGAGCACTCTTATTCTTTTAGGACTTCTATGTCTTTTCATCTAATTTTGTGTATTAATTCTGAATTCACAAAACATGCTAAATAATACTTGAATTACATAAAGAAAAGATCAATGTTCTTATTTGGTTATTAATTATGTTGATGGTCAACTCGGAAGCTTTTTTTTTTTTTTTTACAGTGAGCAAAAATATACTTATGCAGGACTCATTTGTACACCTGAAAGTCTTACCTTACTATCTTGCACACATCATTGGGTTAATGTACCATATGCAGAACTTCTCCATTACCTTGGCTGTTTATATGTAGCAATCACAGAATGTGCCACAGAGTATTACAGATGTCTAAGGATCCATGAGGTTTAATTAAAAAATATTTGTTTCACTTCCCAAGTAATGATGAAATTCAACCTTATTTCTGAACAACTATCTTTTCCTGTTCCTGCTGGAGTATTCTGATGGATGCTGATTTATAATGCAAAATTCCTTTATAAAAATCTCAGTCTGAGTCTGGTTTTAATTTTTTTTTTTTTTAGCATTTGTCTACAAAAGTACATAAAATCTGTTGTGGAAAAATAATACATATGGTTTACAAAAATACTACATAACACCTTGCTGGCTGAAATTTCTTTTTCTTGATGGAGTGGCAAAAAGTTCAGTTAGTATTTGGGGTGGCTTCTTCCTGTAGCTAAAACACAGCTTTTTGGGAGAAAGATTATATAGAAGAAACTGATATTGAGAGGTCTCCTGCTTCTTTATGGGGTAAAAGTGACTTGAAAGCCAGCATTAAATGGAAACATCATTGGGTTTTGGACCTTATGGGGGGAAAAAAAGTGAGTCTGTTAAATGGCAAAGACTTGAAACAGAAAAATCTGGTGTTGTCTTAGTAGTTCAAGTTATCAAAAAATGTATTTACTTTTCAGTATGGAGTTTAGTGTTGGTGGACTCATCAGCCCTCATGAAATCTCATAAAGGGTTAGAACTCTGTTTTATCAAAAAGGCATATTTGCTTTTGGTAGCATGAGGTTATGTGTATGCAATACTGAGAATCAAGTAAAATTAAACCACATTCTGCTGTTCTTCTTTAGAAACATTCCTGCGTAAATACTGCAGTAATACTGTCATGCAGAGTGTATCCTTTCTTGTTGTATCCTTTTTTTGTGCAATGTTTCCCGTAGCACTCAACTGTGTCTTAAGTTTTCATCTAGACTAGGTATGGGGAGGAGTTCGGAGTTTACATGTGTTCAGTTTGAGCTAATCTGGTAATTCTAAAGAGCCAAGGGCACTTTTTTCATCAGGGGGAAAAAAGAAATCAATGAGATGTCTGTGTTGTGTGAATAGACATAGTGAAGGTTCATAGTTTTAAGGCCTCCACCTTCCTCAAGGGTCATATAACTTGCTAATTCGTGCTCCCATTCCTTGGTGGAACAGTTCTAGCTCACAGATGTATGCAGAGTTGTGCTGCCCTCACACTGAGGATGTTACCTTGGTTTTCTTTAAATAATTATAATAATATGTTGGTTAGAATATATTGCAAAGCTATTTTAATGTTAAAGGGTTGATCAGTATTTTAGATCATTTGATGGTTGCTGTTGTCCTGGTATATGAGAAACAATCTGCAGTTGACTTAGTGTATGCATTCCTTACTTTTTCTTTTTGAGTAAAGAAGAACATCTAACAATATCTTGCCATGAAGTATTTGGAGTTGAACTAATCATCAGCTATTAATCACTGCTACCTTTGCCTCGTTTTCTTTTTTTTATAGATGTTCTCTGCTCTGAGGTAGTGTTGTTGCCAGTGACTTACATTTTTCTTGTGGGTTTCATATTACATTATTGTGTAACTTTCTGTAAGATAAAATTAATACAGCCTTTAGCTTTTAAGTCATATTTTTTTCGGACATTAAGCACTTTTTAAAATACTAAGCATCTTTCAATGTAGTTGTCAAAAGAAAATATAACACTGCTATTTTCTGATTGTTCTTACTTTTAACATGCCTTTGTGATGTTCCAGGTCCCTTTTGTGTTCCATCTCTTTCAAGTGTTACCAAGCTGGGGGAAGAAGCAGTGTAACCATCAGGACTCTTGAACTGTGCGTAGTAGCATTTCTAAAGTATTTAAGGCAGACCATAAATTTTCTTGTCTTAAAGATTCCACATATCTTTAAATTGTCACCAGACCTACATGAGAAATGTACGTTGGTTCACTTGTGAAATCTAATAAATTATTTCCTTTCTCTTCATTTTGTCTTTTTCTCTTCATTTTGACTTTTGGTTTTGTTGTGGGGTTTGTGAGTGGGATGGATCTTGCCTTGGAGATGAAGCAGGGGGACTAGAACACTGGCATGAATTTGTACTGTGAAATGAGGCACTATTTTTTCCTGAGTAATTAACTTTCATTGTTCATTTGCATCTTGAAATATGTGACTAGTGAAGCTGAAGTAATTAAAACAAGAGTAGCAGTTAAAACAGTGTTAAACTGATGCAGGTGTGCTCCTTGTCCTGTTGAATTGTGATTGATACCCATCAGTACTGTAGAGATGACATATTAAGAGTTGTTACTGAGCAGACCTGTGTAACTGTCTAAAACCATGTGGGAAACATGGCAGTGATGTTTACTTGGCAAGAGAGTCCAGTCCAGTGGACTTAAGGAAAAAGTTATTCCATGAAATACTAATTCATAGTTGGTGTGATAACTGGCTGGTGTCAAAGATTTATTTTGTCATCATTCCAGCTGCAACCAGTGTGAGTCACAAGTATTCATGGCTGAACCAAAGTGTCTTTACTGTTTTTTCAATATGAACTGGCTTAGCAAATTACTTTACAGTGATTACTTGAAAATTCTTCTTAGCTTATTTGCTGCATTCCCATGTGGACTTCTCAGATGTTTGTTAGTTTATTTTACTTGGTTTTGGAGTTGTAGGCCAGGAAAAATATACTGAGAAAAGAAGTTTTATCAGAACTGCTGAAGGGTTTATGATGCTTAGAAGAGGGAAGAAAAGTGGGGATTTTGTGTGTTTTGTGGCCATTCCATTATGAATAAAGCTAAGCTGTATTCTTGCTGGGGTTATTTTATTAAAGTACAAATAAAACATGCCCCTTACCATCTTATACTGATAATCTATCAAGGAAACTTTCACAGTGCAGTTGAGATTTTTTTTTTTTTAAAGTCAGGAGGCAAAGCTTTCATTCCTTTTAAATCAACTGGATCTTTGTATACCCATTTCTGCTTGTGGTTTCTATTTGGGGTTTTGTTTGTTTGCTTTCCTTTCCCCTGGAATGTTTGTTTGCTGTTGTAAATATTTCGG